CAGTACTTATTAAATGGTGTTCAAAATTATCCCCATGCCAAAGAGTCAACTTTTAATTGACTGTAAATGTAACTTTGGAGTACATAAGGGGAATGGCATGCACAACAGGATGCAGAACTGAGGAATGAAACTCAAAGAGTGCTCCTGGGAGCAGAGATAAACAAAGGCATCCCCACCCACTGCCAGGCTGAGAATACCTTAGAGACTGCACATCCTCCCAGCACAGCACAGGAGGCCATAAAGGTAATAGTCACAGCTTCACAGCAATGTGCACCCACCCTCTTACTAATTAGAAAACTCAGAGACGTGTTCTAAATCTTGGTACTCTGAGAGGAATGTGGTAACTAATTTCCTTTTGATTCCCATCAAAGAATCTGGTCATAGACCGAGAGATTACATTCTAATTCTAATGACTTTAATCCTGAAAAAGTCAAGCTTAAGGCTTTCTCAAAGAGTGTGATGCATTTAGCCCAGCAACAATCTAGAACCATGAGGGATGAGGATACTTCGGTCAAAAGTGACAGAAACAGGCTGGAGAGATGGCTCAGCAGTTAAGAGCACTGACTGTTCTTGCAGAGGACCTGGGTTCAATTCCCAGCACCCACATGGTGGCTAACAACAATCCATAAGAATCGGATGCTCTCTTCTGACCTCCATGGGCATTGCACAATACAGGTGTGCTTTCATGCAGGCAATACGCTTATACATATAAAATAAAAATAATAAATACAATATTTTTAAGTGACAGGAACAAACTGAACATGGATGCCACTCCACAAGAATATGTGATGGTAATGCTAAGTGTTTCATAGACAAAGAAAGTCACTATATCTAGATTTACAGGCTTCTCTCCTTGGCTCCCTGTTCCAGGACAAACACTTAACCATCACCTACTTGGTGTCCTCCTTTCCTTCTTCTCCAAAGAGAAAGTTCAGGAATGATGTGAACAGACAGAACTTCATGAGAACTGTCTGCTGTCTCCAGGGAAATGGAAGCAGGCAATGTCTAAGACATCAGAGCAGCTCACCATGAAGAAGTAATGAAGCAGAGAGGGGAGGAGCAGGAGAAAAAACAACAGCAAAAAAAGAGGCTGGGAACAGCATGCCAACACGAGAAGGCAAATTCTCAAACAGGAAGCTAGAGATTATTTATGGCTAAAAAAATAGAAAAAGACCAGAGGAAAACATGAACTTTCAATTTAATTTTAATAAGCATTTGATAAAAGGCAAGAGATTTAGATAATCTGAAGAAAAATCACAGTATATACCACTCTTTTTGTTACATTTTAAAAGTATTTGTTGTATTTGACAATGAGATTAATAAACTTTGGAAACAAAAATATTAAGTACAAGTCATCAGATCCACTGCATATACATTGGTAAGCAAGTACCAAAAGTTTTTTGGTTGATTGGAAGCTAAAACAGGAGTGTTAACTGTGCTTTTCATGATGAACTCCTCTTCCCTAGTATGAAATAAAAGTCAGCATATGCCCCCCTGTGGCACATACCCTAAGGACTCTATATCTTACCACAGACATACTTGCACATCTATATTTATTACTGCATTAGTCACAATAGCAGGAAAATGAAACCAGCCTATATGTCCATCAATAGATGAATGGATAATGAAAATGCGTTACATGTACACAGTGGAATTTTATTCACCTGCAGAGAAAAATGAAATTATGAAATGTTCAAGAAAATGGATAGATTTGAAAGTATTATATTGAGGTGAGCCAGAATTAGAAAGATAGATATTGTATATTGTCTCTCATAAGCAGATCATAGTGTTATAGATATATATTTGTTTTATATATATTATTTATTATATTATATTATATTAATGAGTGTGAATGTGGATATCGGCTATGAAACCTGAAAGGGAAGCACGATAAGGAAGATGAGGTATAGAGGAAGGGGGAAGGCAATAGAACTCATGGGACATGAACGCAAAAGAGTCTACATGGTGGAAAGGTACGGGGAGGGGGAGGCACATGGGAGAAAGGAGGGAGAGAATCAACAAAAACATCATTTGCTTGAATGCCACAATGAAAAGACTTCATATGCTAATTCAAACATAAATAAAATTTAAAATAAAAACAAGCCTTTGGTAAACGTAATAGAAAAGAAATTATTTCTTTCTTTGAAAGCTGTCATTTTTATTACAATGTAAAGAAAAGAGTCAGCTGTTTACAAAAGATACATTAATGAATGCTAACCTATCAAATGTATTCTACAAACTGATTTACAAGCATGATTTGAAGTGTCAGGGTGACAAGTGGCAACCTTCAGAAGAGCTCCTGTCCCTGTGGTCCTCGGTCCCAGTTCTATGAAGGCTTATGATCCTCCACCTTTTTTAAAAAAATTTATTGAGTTTTTGTAACTTCATACAACAGTTCTTAATCAAATTTAGACATCCCCCAACCATGCCCCCCATCCCCCTACACACACAGGATCTCATGTATTCCACCATACATGTTAAATCCTATCTAGTCAAGCATCTGTACCCAGATGTCCTTCAGCATAAATTCATCCACTTTTGGAATCTAGTCAGCCCATCTAGAGATCATATATGACCTTCCATTTTATACTCCCCAAAGAACTGATCCTTGGACAGTTGTCTCAGATTCATTCTCTGCAGAAATTTTCTTAAAACATGAGTTATTGTCTCACTGTCTATATGAGAAGTCCATCTAGTTATCAAGTGAGCCAAGCCCTTTGCCCATAATTCATGAAGTCTTGTTATTTTACAAACACTGCTTTTGGGGGTGAGGAATAAGTGGTTGTTATATAACTCTCCACATGGAGGGGAAAGGTGGGAATGGAGTCTAACCCATAACTAAAAGCTAGTGGCACGTGACAGCTGCTGGGTGAGGACGAGTCAGTTTTCTTTAAAGCTGTGACCTCTGGTAGGTCAACAAGTAATCAAGGCTAGTTCCACACCCAAGAATATTTGGCCAACACAAATTAGACTAGATGGGGGAAAATATGAATATAGGTGGGTGGGGTCGTGCGAATGGATCTGGGAGGACTTCAGGGAAGAGGGAATATGTTCAAAACCTATTTTATGAAATTCTCGAAGAATTAGCTTTCAAAAGAAAAGAAAATATGAAGAAAGCCAGGCTCTGATTTCAAATGTGGAAATGGAGAATATTAAAATGCTAGAAACTAGTGGTTCTCAGAGTGAAAAGCAAAATTTGCTTAGATGTTACATTTATAATAACATCTTACATTTATAAGACAATGGTCTTCAAATTATTTTTACACAGGGATAGGAGAATTTAATAAAACGATGTCAGTAAATGTGTCAGTGGAAAAGCTTACTCAAGCAACAGACAAAAGAATAATAAAACCTGAAGAAATGGTTTGCTTTCCTCATGAGGCTAGACACAGGGAATTCCTCTTCAACAAAGGGACTTGTAAGTCCTTAATTTCAAATTCAATAGGAAAGACACTGGTAATTCCGCCTATGCAAACTTGACTACTGAGCACAGGTTTCCCTCTGAATAGAGAGGAGAACTGAAGAAGAAGGAGGAGGAGGAGGGGGGAGGAAGAGGAGGGGGGCAAAATAATTGTTTAACAAATATAAAATACATCTATCCTCAATGAAAATGCTTCAGTACAAAGATATCCCAGGAGAAATTAACTTCTGGATTTAAAGGTTGAAATTCATTCCTCATCTCTGAGGGCAGTGCTGTACATTATTAAGGTGGATTTTTCTACCATTAAGAAATCCTCAATGGCTGAAAAGATAGTTCAATCTGTAGATTCTTTGCTGTGTATGGAGACCTGAGTTCCATCACAGGAACACATGTAAAAATCTGTTTGCAGTGGCTCACCCTTGTAATACCAACCCTAGGAGGGCAGAGAGAGGAGAATCACTGGAGCTCTCAAGCCAACCAGCATAGCCCACCTGGTGATAGCCATGTCCCAGAGAAAGACCTCATCTCAAAACAACAAAAAACAAGGTATGGGACCAGGGAGAGGACTCAGTCAGTAAAGTGGTTGCCAAGCAAGCCTAAGGTTGAGTACACACATAAAAAGCCAGGATGAGTAGTGCATGTTTGTAATCCCAGCACTGGGGAAGCAGAGAAAGGAAGATCCCCAGAGATTGCTGATTAGCCTGTTTGGTCAAACTGGTGATCTCCTGGCCTAGTGAGAGACCTTGTCTCAAAAAAGTAAGGTAGCGGGACTGGAGAGATGGCTCAGCAGTTAAGAGCATTGGCTGTTCTTGGAGAAGACCAGGGTTTGATTCCCAGCATCTACATAGTGACTAACAACTGGCAGTAACTCCAGTTCCAGGAAAATCCAACGACCTCTTCTGACCTCTTCTGGCATTGTACGACATGGGTGCACTCGCACACATGCAGGCAATGCATTCATACACATAAAATAATAAAATATTTTAAAAATAAAACAAAAGAATAATAATAATAAATAAGATAGAGTAGCACTTGTGTGTATGTTCATTCAATTGGTGGACAAAGGCATGAAAGACAGACATGAAAACAAAATCCCAGCATAGATAAGCAGAAGTGGGTAAGAAATCCCAACCCAACCTAAGAAACTTTCAGCAATTGATGGCTGCTGGGAGGGGGAAAGACAGTGTCTTACAGGGTTGTGACTTTTGGTGGGCCCAGTGGATGGATCCACAGTGAAGGACATTGGGGCACACAAATCATACACACACACACACACACACACACACACACACACACACGAGTTCATTAAATTAGGCAGGGACAGTGGGTGGAGGTGCAGAGAGGGGAGTGGATATAAATGTCATCAAAATATATTGTATGAAAATTGCAAATATTTAATTTTAAAATGCAAAAAATAATAAAAAAAAAAATCCTCAGGTTTGGAGAGATGGTTCAGTGGTTAAGAACACTGACTTCCCTTACAGAAAAATTTGCTTCCTAGCACCTACATTTCAGCTAAAAACCATCTGTAACCCCAATTCCAAAAGATCCAACACCCTTTTCTGGCCACCATAGGCACTGCATACATGTGGTATGCACATGCAGACAAAACACTCAAACACATAAAATAAAAATAGCAAAAAAAAAATCCTTTTTTGCAATCCAGAACTCATTGTTTGGTATGGGTTTTGATACATATAAGAAGAAATATGACACACACAAAAAATTAAGGTGGAGAGCAATTGTGGATGAGACATTTGATGTTAACCTCTGGGCTCCACCTTCATATTCACACAAAGATGGACACACACACACACACACACACATCAGAAAGGTGAGTGACTTCTGAGGAAGAATGCTCATGGTTGACCCCTGACTTCCACATACATGTCCACACATGTATACATACCTGCATACATGAACATGCATGAACACACAAAAAAAGAGAAAGAAAACCCCAAGACAATGAGAAATAATGAGAGTAGCTTACCTACAGAAAATATCCACACACACATATGTATAGATGGATGGATTGATGTATGGATGGATGGATAGACAGATGATAGATGATAGACAGGTAGGTAGATAAATGATAGATAGATAGATGATAGATAGATAGATAGATAGATAGATGGATAGATAGATAGATAGATAGATGATAGATAGATAAATAGA